AAAAAAAATAAGAAGGTAGAACCGCTGAGAGAAATTTTTCTATTTCTTGACGTTTGCAAGCAATTTAATTTTAAAATTTTACACACAAACTCACACACACATTCGCATTTTCAATCTCACAGCACAACAACTTTGAACAATTCCTTTTTTTTTACTCTCATTTTCATATGATTTTAAAATGTTGGCAAACTTCAAAAAAAAAAAATCATGGCCGACGAATTGAGAGAACGGTTTTACCTTACTATGTTTTTATCATGGTTATTATTACACTTAAAATGTGTACGTAAGAGCGGCAAAATATTTAAAGCGGAGTCTTCTAATCTGGACCTGAACTTGTTATATACAAAAGCTTTTCATGAAAAACATCTTCCGACCTCAACACTTTTAGGCTCAACTGTTTAAAGGTAGTCATAAGCCATTTGAAGTTAATGACCCCTATATCCTTCACTACAAAATATTTGAACTTCTTTTACCAGCATGTCGGATAAATAATAACTTTTTCGATTTGAGTAGATTGATTTAAGAAATTATGCTCTTTTTCTTAAAACTTTCTGGTTTCGTTTACATTAGCGACGCTATGAGTACATTCATTTAAATCTTCTTCAAAAAATGCTCAGGCTGCAATTTAAAAGTAAGTTTCAAGCTTTTTGATTAATTGCAGTCAAGACGGCATTTTATGAAACTCATACTTCAAAATTCATAAACAAGTTCCTACTATCAATTCGATATTTAAAATTTTTGGGGATCCCGGGATTAATGCAAGCAAATCGAAGGATTTTCGGAACCTCAAAAACACCGGGATCCCGGGATTGGCATCCCTAATACATACATCGAAAAGGTTAACAATTTTCTTCAATTTCGGAAAATCCTTTTTTTGCCATGACCGGAATTCTCTCGATCTTTATCCAGAACTTGGCAAATCCTTAAACAATCATACAAACTACACACATACATATCCATATACATATATTATATATCGTTGAAAAAATAAGCTCTGCCCCAAAAAATGTTAAATAAAAAATTATAATTAAAGGATATTAATAATTTAAATTTGAAATATTTGTCCCCACTTTCACCAATCAATTTAAAATTTATCTGATCCTTAGAATTTGAACTAACACAGTTTTGGGAGTAAATTTTGCCATTGATAATTTTAACAATCTGTTGCCCGGTGGCACCAATCAATTGTGTATATTTAAAGTTTGACAGGCTGATAAATTTAAGCCGTTCACAATTTAAAATTACACAATTTTGCTCGGAAAATTTTGATACGTTTTAAAATTGATTGGCGAAACCGGTAATTAATTTCATATATGCATACATACTAGGGATGTTAAGAATATTTGCATTCTCCTTTGTTTATGCGAATGATTCGCATTATTTTAATTTCGCGAATTTGATTGTTCAGCCAGTTCTGCTTAAAGTCTTACAAACATCCTAGAGTAGTGTTACCAAAAGTACTCAGAACACGATTCTCAAAAGGATCGACAGCACCCGATTTTTAAAAGTATCGATACTAAATACTCCAAAGTACTTAGTACTCACGAAAGAACTCGAAAGTACTCAGAACCTAAAAGAACTCAAAAGTACTTAGTACTCACAAAAGAACTCGAAAGTACTTTGATACATGTACTTAGGATACTTAAAAGTACTGAGTTTTATTTATATTTACCGGTATTTAGAAATGGTTGTACTCAATTTGAAGTTTCAATAGTTTTCAAGTAGCCACTCATTTGACGTAATTTGGGATTAATATATTAATTTGAATAAAGTGCTGCCAGATTTCTACACTAATCATTGAAATGTTACAACAAGTGTATATTTAAAGAAAGTACTCAGTACTCTGAAAAATACACGATCCTTAAAAGTATCGATACCAAAGAACTCGATCCTCAAAAGTACTCGATACTTCCCAACACTATCCTAGAGGAATTTTATATTCCTCAAGCAAAATCTAAGACTCGGATGTGGAATCTGGGAACATTAAAAAATTGTGAAATAGGAGCTCGATTGAAGACGAATTGACGGATCTTACAAATAATTCAGTGCAGCCTGCCTAATAAAAACAGTGAAGTAAGTTGATTATGGCCTAATGTTATTCCTAAACATTCGCAATTAGCATTCGCATTCGCATATTGGCACTCCGAAGAATCGCATATTCGCATACGCGAATGTGTAATATATGACATTCGTAACATCCCTGATGCATATAACCGTACTAGTGCCTTAAATTTCAACTGCATTTTCGGAAATTCTAATATTTAGATTATGTGTGCAAGTACGTAACTGTTCACAGTTATTGAATTGCATTTAAGCCTGCGCATTAAGTTGACTAGCGCGTAAGTAAAATATGACTTGTCAAGATTTTATGCTAATACTGTATTCTTATGGCAATTATGGAGATGCGAATTGTGTGCTGTAATTGCTTAAATAAAGCTATTCGGCGAGTTGCGGGTGGGCAAATTCCAGTTCCATTTTTTTATTTTTCAGCAAAATTCATGAATGTACATATGTGCGTATGTGCATATGTACTTAAATGATTTAAGCCACATTCAAGTTAACAACAGGTCGAAAGCACATTATTCATCATCAAATAAGGCTATTTCAAATATTTCAAGTTTTTGTTTTTCAATCAAATATGTACAATGAAAGTTTAAATCATTCGTTAATTTCGTTTGCTTTGCAAAGACGTGTAATGCCAAGGTTAGAGTTTCATTTCTCTACTGTTGAATGAAATTTTCGCGTAAACAATTTAACAAATTTAGAAAACGTGCTATTTGCTTGTGGTGATCAAAAGCGTACATACATATATCGCTTTTAAAATAAGAAAAGTACTGCGTGTTCAGGCTTTTGCTACAACAACAAGACACAAATGTACCTACATACATACCCAGTGGGAAAAGTGGTAATGTATTACATGCGTGATAAATAATGTAATGTATTTCCAATGAGTTTTAGATTCTATTTCTGTTTGATATGTAATCAGAATGCGAATGTATCCAAAAAGTCGCAAAAATTTCATATTAAATCGCATTCATTTTTGCATTACTGGTAATGGAAAAATGAATGCCCCACTTTTCCTAGGACATCGACGTGGAAAAAATAACGCATTTTCGAATGTGAAAACGGCTGTTTTACCGATTATTTTTTCGATTACTATACATTGCTTTTTTTACCACTGGGTATGTATGTACGTCAAAACATGAAGTGGTTTACAGTTTCCAAGCACTTAATCACATTTGTATATATACGAGTTATGCAGAAGTGCATTTGGAATCATTCTTATGTACGAAACTACGTATTCTCTTTTAAGTGAAAGTCAACTTGTGCGTTGTACTTATCTTTTTTTTTTGTAATTTAAGTGTAAAATGTAACTAAATTATTTGTTTTGTTTCTAATACGTTCTTGAAGATACGACAAAATTAGTAAAAAAGATAGTTTCCTTTTGATTGTTGATGTTTCCGCCAGAGGTATGACATATTTCGGAACAAATTTCCGTCATCCCTTGTCAATTTTGGTTTGGAGACAAACCGATTTTGTCGTTGTGCCATCTTCAGTTCTGAACCATTAACCAAAAAGTGATACTGAAGATGGCACAACGCCAGAACCGGATTGTCTACAAGCCAAAATTGACAAGGGATGGCGGAAATTTTTTTAGCCTTCCGAGCTCGATTCTTTGTCCATTTTTCCTATGGAAAGGCCTTCTGATACAGCTTCCCTTAGAAGAGGAAAATTTACATGAAATAATATTGACACGTATTAACTTCACCTGACTGGTGTTAAGGTGTTAAGACCCGCATAAGCTGGGCAGCTATACAATAATTATTGGCATGATTTCATCTAATCGTTCTCTATAAAGCGATTTGATATTTAGTCTGACCGTGTGAACACCAATCGGTCAGTGTCCTGCCAATACACTCAACAGAATTAAGATTTGCGGTTTTGTGAGCTTAAGAAGAGCCCTTTACCGCCTCGCGTTCGGTAGGCTGACATGAGTAAATTTGTCTTCATATAATTAAAAGTAGGCATACTCTCCCTATTCGCGTTAAGATCGACTGGATAGTGCCTTTTCTTGCCAACTCATTAGTAACACAATTTCGAGCAATATAACTATAGCCCGGCACACATATTCACCATACATATATCTCACGATGGATGAAAGAGAGGTAAGGCATTCCGCTACTATCTTTGAACGCAACGTGATCTAGCCCAATGAATTGATATTTACTTGGAAGCTATGGTTAAATGTTAAGCAGAGTGCAAAGTTCAGCCCGTGGCTTTCAGATCTTGTCCTACGAGAGTCTTAAACGTGGTCTGTCACTTGGTATCGATAGATATTTTTATCAAAGAAACTGCGTTTTCTGAGGCTGAGAGAGCTTGGATTGTGGAAAGAGCATCTCTAACGTCATGCCGGACTTTTAAATAGAAATGTCTACGCGGCGTCCAGATTCAGCAAGTGATTTCCCGGCTGAGGTTTTTGTTATCGGCAAGGAATGTTGTGTTCTACCACAGATCGATATTTTTTCAGACAACCAGATGACGATTAGCTCTTGGCTCTGAGGCAAATACTTTCAGCATAGTAAAAGAAGAAGAAGCCAGAAGGAGGATTCCGGGCACAGCTTTCTTTGCGGGGCTAGAATTGGCATCAACTTACGTGATCTACTTAAGTTCCAGAACTCCACCGAGTCTGTAATTCAGCATCTTGAGACTTTGCAAAATTAAAAAACTTGTTAAGTTAGGAGCTCTTTCAATTAACCCACTATCTCACGTTTTGAGATTTAATACTGTTCGAGAAAGGTGATGTGTATCATAGCGTTTGCATAATAAACGATGCTGCTATTTTAAATCCAGGTAGAGGGCGATATTTGCAAGAATTTCATTTACTTAGAACTAAGAAGGAGAGGAGAAACTCGACAACATTTTAGAATGCACTTAAATGGCAAGCTACTTAAATTGGCTGACGCACTGCAGAACTTACACTTGTAGCTGTGCGCACTCGAGCGATGAATCGGGCGTTCATCCATAGCGCCGAGCAGCTTAGCGAGTCAACTTGATTCGGCTAAACTTGGCTTAAACCGTTTGTTCAGGCAAAGCGTGAGTTTAGTTGATTTTTAATTCGCGGCTCGCACGGTCGGTAGTGCAGAAGACCAACACATTGGTAATACTTGCACAGTAAATGATCGCCGAATTCCAGAAAGGAAGTGCTAATGAAAGTGGTTTTATTTTAATAAATAAATTAAAAAAAACACAATCACTTTAATTTCAACCGCTGATTACCACAAAAAAACAGAGCAAGGAAACAAATTATGTTTAAAAGTATTTTGTGATAAATAAATTGGTAGTTAAAGGATTTCAAAAAATCGCAGCTCTACTACATTAGAAAAGAAATATATTAAACAGTTATCAAACAATCGAAAGCAATTGGCCATGGCTCGGAAAAAACAAATGCTTACGTTCGTGCTTATGCTTAGCTTCCTTTTAAGCACTTGCGCTACGAAAAATATCGGCGGCGTTGGTTCGCCTTTGGATTGGTCGTCTGAAAAATTGCGTGATGTAGGGTACACAGACAATGTATTTGGCAAACATCCTTTCGAGGACGAAGGTGCAGTGTTGACACCAAACGAACGACAATTATTCGCCTATAGTCTTAACAAAGTTGGAGGACCCCAGTGTCGAGAAGATTTAAATACTACGCTGTGGGGCATTCTGCGGGGCCAACAATGGGCTATTGCAAGTAAGTGCGCTAATATACATATCGTCGATGTTTTTGCAAAACCGCCCATCGACCAGTTGTGGGAGAAGATATTGGATCTTAAGTAGATTATTCTCATTTTCGAGCTTAACTACCTAATCTGTAATTAGAACAAGTAAAGAAGTATAAGTTCGGACGAACCCGAACTTTTTATAACCGGGTAAGAGATGGTTGTAAGTATTAACTTGGAGTATATAAATGTCCACAGTTTTTGAAATATCGGACTTCTCGTATTTCTAAAATTTACGGTTATACGGGAAGCGGGTGTAATTTTAATCCGATTTTAATAATTTTTAAGCAATCGCTTTTCCATACCAAGGTTATAAAGTGCACCGAGTTTGGTAGAAATTTATAAATCGGTTATCGAGATATACATTTGTTGTCATAAGGGGGCGGCGTCACGCCCATTATCCAAAAATTTATATTACCAAAAATTTTCTGCTGAGTGGTTATTGCACTCATCGATTTTAAGTAAATTAGATTCAGTAGTTACTGATTTACCGCAGTTTTCGTGTTACTGTAAATTACTGTTATATGGGAGGTGGGCATGGTTATTGGGCGATTTGAAAGATTTTCAACAGATTTCTTAAGTAGACCCTAGGCAACGCTCGTACCGAGTTTGATAAGGATTGATGAAGCGGACACTGAGATACAGTATTTCATAAGTGGGCGGGGTCACGCCCATTTTCCAAAAATTTCATAATAATACTATTTTTTTACCAAAATTCTACTTCACTTACTATTTTTCAACAATTTAGATCTAATATTTATGGAAATATCGCAGTTCTTGCATTTTTCGAAAATACCGTTATATGAGAAGTGGGCGTGGTTATTGTCCTATTTCGCCCATTTCCAATACCAGCCTACCTTGGATAAAAGGCAACCTACGTGCCAAATTTCGTTGAGATATGTATTTCCATTTTTGCTCGACGACGGACGGACAGACCGACATGGCTTAATCGATTTCTTTTTTTCATTCTGATCATTTATGTATAAATTAGCCAAACGAAATTCGTTCCTCATTAATCTGTTATTATAAAATAATCTCAGATTAAACCGATAACTTTTCGGTGTTTAACATAGTTTTATCGATTATTTTTGAGAAGAAGAGGAGATATGTCAAATGTAAAACTAAGCAAAACTTGAATATATTTAATTTTCTTAATGTAGCGTAAAAAAGCAGGTACGGAAAATAATCCATATTTTTTAAATATTAATCAAAAAAATCAATAAGGTGAAATCGCCGCAAAACAATTTTAACTATACTCACGTATTTGTTTACTTACGCCCTACTGTAATTTACAGTGATTTTCGACGTATCCTTTTCAGAGGTAGCGATACCCTAATAAAAGTAATAAGCCCCAAAAATTTCAAGTCAACATTTCAGTAAGTTGCGTCTGTATGGCCTTTTCAATTTTATAATAATTATATTATCTTTAAGTTTAAAAATGAGATTCAATAATAATTATTATCTTTGACCGAAAAAATTAAGATTATAAAAAAATCATTATTTGTGATCGAAAAAATAAAAATCAAATAATAATCATTTCCGTGGAGCGAAATAATAAAAATCAATAATAATTATTATTTTTGAGCGAAAATTAATTGTAATATTTAAAATTATAATGATTACCGTCCCTGTAAAAAAGTGATCACGGTGGTGCAGGAGAATAACAAGTACATACAACAAATTTGACAGCTAATAATCTCAGATTTGCAACTGTAAACGGGGTGATTAATAAAGAAGCTATGATTGAGATTATAGTTATATGTAAACGTAATTTTATGCATAAAAAGTAAGCTTAACCTCCGGGTAAATTTTCTGCGCAAAATGTTGGGCTTACAAGCCCTCGATATGTACTCTTATGTATGTACATACATAACTAAATTTTTTGACAAAATACTTATTTGAATAATTTTGATTTTCGTAACACGTGCGGCGCATTATTATGTGAATCTGAATATTTACAATCTCATGCGGCTAAGTAAGCCATGGTACCAATAGCAAATAGAAATTATCTAGGAAAATCCCTGTTGTCGGTATTTGATGCATAGAGAACGCCTGTTTTATTCTTGAAAGGGTATTAAAAAATGTTCTTTGTATGCTTCTCTTCCACTGCTTATTTACTCAATAATACGTATCCAAAATATTAATCAAGCTATTTTGGCGCGCTTCATTTTTGTTGATAGCGTTAGCGACCCCGTCTGCGTAGAAGCGTTTAAATGGGAATGCATGTAGTACATACATACATAGGTATGTAATCTGTGTGTATATACGTGCATTCATACTTATGTATGTATGTATGTATGTATATCTATAGCATTTCTGTGAGTAAACACTTAAAAAGTGCCAAGTATTCTTATGTACATTAAAATTGTTTATTCACAAAAAAGTACATAAAGTGAAAAGTCTTTGCTTTTGTCAAAAGGGGAAATATTTAAGCAAATAAACGTTGAGTAAATTTGAATGTTTTTTTTAGGAAATTAACTTGCATCCGCTTGGATGATTGTTAATATGTATCTACAGTGGGATGAATAAGAATATTCATATACATTATGAAGCATTCTTTATTTTTTATGCTACTCGGCTTTCTCATGGAAATTTAATTTATATTCTTATAACTCCAGTCTACATACATACCGCGAACTTTCTTCAAAGGTGTACTAATTCAATATTTACCTTATCTTGTCAATTTAACTTAATTAAGTTTTTCAAATAGTATTTTCGACAGTAAACTTTCTTAAACCGCCTTAATTTAACACCAGAATTGTTATATTTAAAATATTCCTCAAATATTCCCTGTAGCTAACTTTCCTAAACCTCTTTATTTTGACAGCCATATTGCAATAATTAATGTATCTATCAATTTTAGCAAAGCTGTAATTTTCAAACGGGTGGCAACTCTCTAATTTTTTTCTTCTTCTAGATTTTAAGTTAGACCCCGAGCAATATATCGGTGAAAACTGCTTACTATTTCCATTTCTATACAGACAGACATACAATCAAAATTTCTAAAAATTCTTGATTTTTAATTTTTCTTTAATATCTAGTATGTACAGACATCGGCTTGTAAAAATTTTATTATATGTATAGATTTTCGGAAAATGGGCACGACACCGCTTATGCTCGGTAAGCGCTTTATCGATTTCTACCAAGCCCAGTACATAGTTTAAAGAAAGGTGAAAAAAAACTATATTTAATCAGCCCCAACTTATATCTACTTCTTTACTTGTTAATTAAAAAATTAACTTTGTTGGATTTGGTACACTGCATATTTTGCTTTTACCATTTTTTCATTACTTACAAAATTTTTTGTTCTCAGGTCCTGTACTTCTTTGAGCTATGAAATAGTTGGTCACATTATGTATAGAGAATGAAGTTGCAAGATTTTAGCCGAATTTTTTCTCCTCGTGAAATCATGAAAAGTGTCAAGCGATCACTTGTTTTAACAGAGAACAATTGCTTTTTTTTGTTCCCGTACTTTTTGTTGTTAGTCACTTTTTACTCTTACATCAGAGAGTAGTTTTGCTGTTTGACATTTTTACAGGATTTTACACGAAAAGCATTGGACCAGAGCTATTTACTTCAATAGTGTCATTATTCAAAAAATACAAAAGTTGAGTTAATGTTATGCAGAAATTATCGCTACCTTTTCGTTTATGTTGTGTAAACATTTCAGTAGCTCACTAGAATAAAATATGTATTCATTTTTAATATGGGAGTATACATTTACTTCATACATACATATATAAATTCAAAACTTTAAAGCAGTTTTCCCCGTGTTAACCTTTTTAGAGTTATGAAATTATTGAAGTTAATGAGCGATGTGTATATATGTACGTACATAAGTATTAATATTAAGATTACATACAATCTTACAAATTTATCGGAGCGTGTAATCCCCTTTTTTTTGAAACAACTTATGAATTTGAAACGGAGCGCAACCAAGTGTCACATTTACTTATGTATGTACATGTTTACATATATTCCAAATCTACAAACCTACATACATACACACATATGTAGCATATAGTACTTCCATGTATGTGTGCATTCAAATGAAAATTGCTTTATATCTGCATCAAGTGACGTTTGAGCAACGAAGGTCGATCCGGTGTGTTCATCTTGAACTAATTACTTAAGCCTACATACATATCTAAATACATACCCTGCGGGAAATATATCTAACTATAAGTTAACTTTAAGTTGATTAGCAAGGAACTAAAGGCCACTATTATTAAATATTTGTATATTTCTTCTGAGGAAAGCTAACTATATTTGTATGGCGATGGTCGCGAAATAGTCAAGGGTGGTTACCTCTGCATTTGATGTAACTAACTTGCAACTAACTACTTTTGGACATAAAATATCAATAGGAAAAATAAAATGTTTTTATTTTTTTTTCTTTATTTATTTATAGGTGGCCCCATATTCGAACTCCGTCAGACATAATTTCAAAATGATAATATGAAATTTCGTTCTTCCTTTTATTCGTCCTCAATTGGAAAAAGTATTTGTGAAGTGCAGGATATTTAAATAGAAACGCGTTTAAAGAAAATAATCTTCCGATTGCGTTTGCATTACTTTTCAACTAGTTTCAAGTTAGATTTTTATAGCTAACTACAAGTTATATATTTTGTGGAAATCCTGCAAAAAAGCTAACTACAAGTTGGTTATTTTTTATCAATTGATATTTTTTTTCTGCAGGGTATGTATGTACGTACACACGTATATACTAAATCCAAGTTTATTAGTCGATTGCACTATATTTTACAACGCTTAACAACTGTCGCTCACTAAACATATGTATGTATGTATATCCACATGTTTAGTAGGAGCACTAAATGTCATTGTACGCGACGGTAATAGCTACAAAACTTAAACGAAAACAAAAGTGCGTAGATTTTTTTTAAATTAACTAATAATTTAATGCAAACTATGATATCAAAAATAATACATACATATGCACGTATATAAATTA